ATCACTTTTCTTATTAACAAATAAAAGAGCCAAGTAGGAAAATAGCTTCTTAGAGGATGGTTTCTTATATTTTGGAATTCTTTAAGTTTTAATTATTTTAGAAATGGATCTTAATAATAATAATCTCCGGTACTTTAGTCACGGGTTGCGAGCGATCGAATGTCTTCAGCAGATATTTAAAACACTGACCAGAGACTGCATTATTATTTATTAAAAATATAATAAATGTTTGTTTCCTTTACATACGAAAAGAATGAAGTGTCCTTAAAAGAAGAGAAAGTTGGATAAAAACTTGTTCCGTGTTGAATTTATATTACCTTACATTAAAAATTAGGGGTTACTGCATATTGCTTAGTTTTATACTTCTTACTTATCTTGAAAATACAAAAATACCTAGTTGTGTTTATTTCGGTTAGTTATTTAGCACAACTAAAAATATTTTGGTTGGTTGATTATGTTCGAAATATTATATTATACAGATAGCACAAGTAAAAAAAATAGCATGAAAATTTCAAAACAAGCTTTAAATTTTCTGGAAAACAATTTCACAACGACAATAAAAAAAAAATTAATTTTAATACCCAAAGTTTCTCAACAGAAAAAGTTCTGTCGCATGTAATTAATTTGAGCGTATATACTTGGACTCCATTATCCATATGTATTGCAAATATCGAGAAATTAACCCTGTGCAGATGCTAGAGATTATAGTGCGGATATTGCTGATTATAATTATCGCTACTATTTGCTTAATATGGAAATTAATAAAAAATGAACGAGTCACATGCTTCGTGACGTCATAAATGTTTGCTGATACCTTGGTGGATGCCCCTATTTTTCTTAAATATAGGGTGTTTTTTTTCAATGCATAAAACTTTAAGTTGCAATAAAACAACGATGGGTTATTCGATTGACATGAATTTTATTTATCCGAAAGATAATCTTGTACCGCCACGGCTGGCGCGGACGTAGTCCAATCTGGACGTCCAATTTTCGATGACTTTTTCCGACATTTGTGGCCGTATATCGGCAATAGCACGGCGAATGTTGTCTTCCAAATGGTCAAGCGTTTGTGGCTTATCCGCATAGCCCCACAGAAAGTAGTCTAGCGGTGTTAATTCACAAGATCTTAGAGGCCAATTCACAGGTCCAAAACGTGAAATTAGGCGGTCACCAAACGCGGTCATCTCCTGGACATCATGGTTATTCAATTCAGGAATGAAAGAGTTAGTAATCATAGCTCTATACCGATCACCATTGATTGTACCGTTCTGGGCATCATCGTTTTTGAAGAAGTACGGACCAATGATTCCAACAGCCCATAAAGCGCACCAAACAGTCAGTTTTTCTGGATGTAACGGTGTTTCGACATACATTTGAGGATTGAGGACATTGAGGATTTGCTTAGTAGCCATTCAACCAGAAGTGCGCTTCATCGCTAAACAAAATTCGCTTATGAAAATCGGGAACAACGGCAATCTCGTTTTGGGCCCATTCGACGAATCTACGCCTTACTTGATGATCGTTTGGCTTCAATTCTTGCACGAGTTGGATTTTGTAAGCACGTAAACCAAGATCCTTCCGCAAAATCTTCCATAAAGTGGATGGACACAGATCCAATTCCTGTGCTCGATGGCGGATGGACTCATTCGGGTCTTCCTCAATGCTACGCTCAACAGCAGCAATAGCTTCTTCTCTAAGCACAGTACGGCGTCTCTGGCGATGCGAGTTATCAATAAGAGTAACCGTGGTGCGAAAACGTTCGATGGTTAATCGAATTGAGCAGTTAATGATGGACGATTTTGTCGACGATAAAATGGACGTAGTGCACGTAACGCATTCCGCACAGAACCATTATTTTCGAAATAAAATTGCACTATTTGCAAGCGTTGTTCAGGCGTGAGTCTATTCATGATGAATTGCCAAACCAAACTGAGAATAAATCACTTGACAGCTGTTAAATCGGTCGCCATCTTGAGCAGTAATGCCAACTTAAATTTCTATACATCGAAAAAAAAAACCATTATAAAATTTAATCATTGCATTGCTTACGAATTAAATTGATAAAACCAAGAACATTGTGATTCTAGTTAGGGTTGGATTTTCCACAAAAAAATACTGGAAATTATTTTCAGTTGTAAGATTATTAATAGTCTTATTGAAAGTACATCTTATAATTTAATAAATTATTCACATGTCACATAAACGGAGTCATAACAACAACACACATAAACGGTGTTGCTGATTGGTTTTGTACCATAACCCTTGGGTTAATATAGACTGAATGTCCAATTTTTTGACAATATGTAGTCAACGGTTGCACTTCCGGTTTGAGCAGAAACGACAGTAATTTTCGAATTTTAAATGACAACGTATATTTTTTGCATTTTAGGATTCAGATCATTCGACGAAGGATAGGATGTTTTTTTTTTATTAAATTTTTGATTTTATTAAATTTTTATTATTTATTATTATTATTTTATTATTCATTATTAATTGTCAAGTCGGTAAGATTAAAAATGCAGGAGAAACACTAAATTCGAATTTTTTGTTGAAAGTTTTTTATTATGGTAAACAGTTCATATGCTTTTGGAATACGCGGATACAGTCAAAAACTAATGCAAGTATTGTATATATACGTGCGTCGTAAGCTACAAGCATTTTTGCCGAAAACTCGAAAGAACAAGAGAATAGAAATATTTTGTTTTCATTCCAAATCTTTTAGGGATAATGCGACACAATATTTTGACAACCTGTAATAAAACTTCAACAATATCGGTAGAATCTATTTGAAAGTGTGTTACTGTAAAACAAGTTTTACATTGACATAAAACATCACATTAATTTATTTTGGAACTAGAGTATTGTGTTTACTCGAATTAAATAAGTGCGATAAATATTTACTTTATAACCAATTTATTTTAAGATGAATGTTTTCAAAATGTCCTCCTTCTTGTATACGATAATTCTTGCCTCTAGAAATTACATTCGCTGTAACCCTGGAGTTATGCTATCAAATGCAGCCGATATTCTCCGCTGTAATTCTTGTAGGTCGAACAATGGAGTTACATAAACACGGTCTTTCACGTACCCCCAAACAAAAAAATCTAACGGTGTCAAGTCCGGTGATCGTGGGGGCCAATTGACTGGACCGTCTGTTGAAATTAGTCTATCCCTATAAACATCACGTAGGTGTTCAGTGACATCTCCAAAATTATGGGGAGGAGCGCCATCCTGCTGAAAATACATATTTAATGTCACGGCAAGAGTTAAATCATCTAACAGGTCCGATAATTCGCCTGCCCAAACATTGATTCCGAACCGTTCTTGAAACTGTCCCGGACGAATAATCTTTGATTATTTAAAGACCAGTATCTATTGTTCTGTCGATTAAACATAGCATTATTTGAGAACCATGATACGTCAATGAACAAAATTAAGTGTTTGTCTAATAGATAAATAATAGAAAAAAATGATAGCCGTGTTTTTTTTTTTTTAATTCTCCTCACAGATTCTCTTGAGATGTCTAATTTTAATGTCACTTCTCTTAGCATTGATTTTCATTTCTTCATCTATAATAAAATTATCATATCGATTATTTTGTGGATTTCTCATTTTCAATATCAACTTTTTCTTAATTTATTATTGTTTTCCATGATAATCCAAATCGATAACACGACAAAATTAATAATCAGATAAAAATGTACAAACTGTCAGAATTTTCAATCATGTCGAATTGATAATGAATAGAAGCAAAGACACCCAAGTAATATTTTGTTTTTATAAAAATGTATTTACTTTTTTTGTCCTTCCTGTGAGCTTATTTTTTAAAATTTAAATGATTGATTTTGAAAATTTTGGTGTCAAAATTATGCAAAAAAAGTACCGGTATTTAAAAGTTTTTGTTTCCACTGTAGCTTATGACGCACGTATACATACAATACTTACATTAGTTTTTGACTGCATCACCATATTTCAAAAGCATATGAACTTTTTACCATAATAAAACACTTTCAACAAAAAATACTAATCTCAGAAGAAACTCTTAATTTTTTTTTTAAATACTAATCTGTTTTTTCTTTGCACTGCATGAACTTGTCGAGAGTTTTTTCTTCATTTTTAGTTTTACCGACTTGACAATTAATAATGCATAGAAGCAAAGTCAACTAAGTAATATCTTGTTTTTATAAAAATGTATTTATTTATCTGGCTTTTTTCCTTCCTGTGAGCTTATTTTTTAACGGATTTTGAAAATTTTGGTGTCAAAATGTTGCCGGTTTTAACAAATTTTTGTTTCCACTGGGGTGCTATTTGAAAAAACTAGGTTATCCTAAAAAATTAATAGTTCATTACATTAAATGCTATTTGTAATTAGACAAGTAAAGAAAAGTTTCATTTAAAATTTTTCCCTTGATCAGATGACCTGGTAAATAGTATAGGAATATTTTGACACGACTTAATTTTTACTCATTATAAATTACGTGCTTTTAATTACGGTCGTATATATAAATAACAAAATTTTCAATGGAAAACAAGAATATCGCGCCAAAGGAATCTTTTTAGCAATTAATTTATATCCGCCGGCAAGTCGCGGAACGAATCAAATAAATATTTGTATTTCCACTATTTCCTTCACGGGGAGTTTTCGTTAATGAAAACGTCTTTCGATAATAAAATTGCTTTGTTCCGTTTTAGTTTATATCATTCAAACGACCTACGAACCGTGCGCTTCGCTTCAATTCGACGAGAAGCATCCAAAACAAATAATTCATTTCGACTCGTCAAAGCATTTTAATAACGAAGCAAATTATAGTGAGAAAAACGAAACTTGCGGAGAAACTCATAAATTCTTTTTAATTCCGGGTGATAAATTTTTGTCAAATTATCTAAGCAGATAACTTAAAAAAATTAGCAGCAGATACGCATCTTTCACGATAACCGGAAAACGTTGTTATAAATATTTTGGCTTTTACTTTTATACGTTAATTAATAACCTAGCCGAGATGAAATTCCTTATCACCGTAACGTGTCTGGCGTTGGCCTCCATAGCCGTCCGCTGCGAAAGCTATGAGGGGTAAGTATTGGGATGGTAATTTCGTTTTAGTCTTAAACTTGCTAATATTACCGCCGTCGGTAGCTACAAAACGTACGAAGTGATTCCTGCAAGTCTCGAACAGGTCGAATTTCTGAGTGAATTGGAATATGACGATCAATTCGATTTTTGGTCCGATTTGCGAAGACCTGGTTTCGCCACCGTCATCATGGTCGAACCGAAAGCTCAAGACGAGTTTGAAAAACGGCTTTCAGATTTTCAGGAGACTGGCCTCGTATATAAAATCATTGTGGAAAATGTGGAAGAGTACGTAAACGTTGTAATTTAAATATTTACGCCAGTACCTAGTCTCAGTAGTTTCTTAGTTTTGATTAGGACTGGATTGTTTGAAATTCTTGAACATTATTTTCAACACTGTGCCTTGTAACCATTTTTGATTGGTGGCAGATGCATGTAAGGCAAACGAAAACACAAGAAAAACTTCGATTGAAATTGATAGTTTTTCAATTAGGACCGAGAATTCTACATCGAGTGATTTTGAATAAACATTGTTAAGGATTTTCTTGACATTCCATACCTTCTGGTTGACACTAAAACACCATGTTGTTTTAGGAAATAAAATTGACATTACAGACGAAATTTGAATAGTAAATAGAAAAGGAAAATTAATTATAGAAAATAATAACCAACGGAAAAAAAAAATAATTGTTTTATATGACCAACACAAACGCTGAATAACTATGCCTATTAAGCGCCATTTGCAAGACACGATTCCGAAATTATATATTATATTTAATTAGAAAAAATGGCATTTCTCTTTAACAAATATAAACAAAAAATGATTTGAAAAGGTTCAGCTGTTATTTTATAAATGTTTACTAAGCAACTAAAAAAAAAATTAAAACTAAAAAAAATCAAAAAAACAAGAAATAACGTTCAATTTCAGCACAATAAAGGTAGAAAATGCACAAAACGTAGCAACAGGGGTTTTTCAAATCGGAGGGGTTACTTTCGAGCGGTACATGTTCCATTATGAGGTACGCCAAAAAATATTTCTACGAGGCGTGGCGGAAAGTTTCCGAATCTACTTGACTGTATTTTTAGATCAATAACTACTTGGTAAAGCTGGCAGAACAATATCCGAGTATTGTTAATTTGGAACTGCTTGGTCACTCGTATGAAGGACGGGAATTGTATCTTATCAGGTAAGCATTAAGCATTTTTACAATGTGTAATTGTCCGAAGCGCCACTTCCTTACATCAAATGATATCACAGGTCTACAAAATTAAACTTTTTGACAGATGCTGTTATTTCGAAAACTGATTTTTCAAAAATTTTAGGCGTTTATTTGTATCACGTAAGGTTTTTTGCAAATATTAATGGAAAAAAACGGTATTTCTAAAATAATTTATTTTTTTATTCAGTAAAAAAGTGAAATCCTAGTTAAGAAGAGTGGAAAAAAACTTTAGACTTTTTGAGTGCAATCTTGGTCTTTTGCCCGAAAGCTGCGTTGTCCGGACATTCGGCTGAGTGTTTTTAAGGGCATATCCCGTTTTAACATCCGCGTTATGATTCATCTGCTTTGGTATCGCCGTTCCATATGCTTCATGTCCTGGTGAAACCTTTCTCCCTGTTCTTCGTTAACTGCTCCAAGATTTTCAGGAAAAAAGTTCAAGTGTGAAAACAGAAAATGTACTTTGAAACTCATATTACAACCTAGACGATTAAAGGGTTGCAACATATTTTGAACAATACTTTCATCCTTAGGTACAGTTTCCAAGAAACACATCAATTACTTCTTTAAATGAAACCCAGGCGTTTTTCTTGACATTGTTTTGAAAATCCCTGTCTTTGCATAATGTTCTTATCCGCGACCCAACAAAAATACCTTTTTTTATCTTGACATCAGTTTCTCGCACAAATATTTTAAACACTATCCATTTTTGTCTAGGGCTTTAACCATCTGCTTCATCCAGCCAAGTTTGATATGAAGAGGAGGCAGTAAAACATTTTTGGGGTCAACAACAGGTGTAAGGCTTGTTCTAAAGGGCCAATATAATATTTTATTTAATTAATTTAAATAATATTTTATTTAAATTAATTGCGATTCGGAAAATACTTTTTTCTACTGCCGCCTGTAAAATACCTAATTACGCACCGATCTAGCGTACGGGAAGCTTCACTTTACCACGTTAGTTTCGTTTCCCACAAATCCGAACCACTTCGGACATTTCCGGGATTTTACCGCACGGGTTTGGGAGCAATCGAATGTTTTCGGAGATATTTCCCATGCTTTCAGTTTTGACGTTTTGTCAATTCTGACAGTCATGTCAGTGATATATCCGTGTTTTGCGAAAATTTATGCAAAAACTAACGGTCGTAGAAAAAGCATAGTATGCAACACGTTCGGTGAACTTTTTAACTCACTCGTTTATTAAACACTCGCTCCGCTCGTGTCAAATAAACTCGTGAGTCAAATGCCGTTTACCGCAATTGTTGCATAATATACTATTCTGTACAGGATGGTCGTACCGTTTTAATAGCAAGCCTTTGCTATTTCTAAGCTGGATAGAGCTAAATCGAGTTACATACATTCACTACCGACCGAAGTATGGGGCATTATTCTATTTTCTATCAATTCCAATAACTTTTTTAATGTTTAAGTCAAGCACGATTGCCCTAGAAAATAGATTTCCCGATAATATAGTGGGTAGTGTTATGGGGAACACGGCAGATAGTGTTTTCATTTATATTTTACACACACCTACAAAGTTTGAAAAGGTTAAGTTTTTTCTCTATTATCTTCTGAGCATATTAATAAAACCTTAGTAAAGAAAAATTAAAAATTATAACAACTTACCTTTCTTAATAGAATTCCCTATATATCATTAGTTAGTCTTTTGAAATCCGATATCAAAAATATATACCTTATCAACATAAGTGGGTGTCAAAATATAAATAAAAAAACTGCACAGAATGCCATCTTATTCTATGTTATATCACATTTTAAACATTTTTCAAAGAAATTTCGACAGGCTACTGTATTCGACAAGCTACTGTAATACTATTTACAAATCTTCTGCATTTCTCCTGCATTGGTAGCAGCCAGTATTGTTGTGATTTATCATTGAAAAGTCACTAAAATACAATCTTACAAAATGTTTACTTCCCTTTCTTTACGTATTCTCTTCTTTCAATCCTGGCCGTAATAAAAATTTAAAAAATATATTTTTTCACACAACGAAGTGACCGTTGTTTCACACCCACTTTACCTCCATAGTACATAGTAAAAAAGTGCTTTATACACTTCTTATTTAATTGTACCGTTTGCCCAGGATCTCAAGTGGCCCTGGATGCAAACCGACAATTTTAATTGACGCTGGAATCCACGCCCGAGAATGGATTGCTCCGCCTACGGCACTTTATATCATAAACCAACTAGTGGAAAACGCAACAAATCGCGAGCTGTATGAGAACATCGATTGGGCAATCATACCGGTATTGAACCCCGACGGATATTCATACACACAAACAAATGTAAGGTCAAAGAGAGTAATTTGACATATTTATCTATGCGAGATAATAAAATGTCCTTTTTATTAATTGCTAAGAATGTCTAAGGTAATAAAAAGTTTGTTTCTTTAGACAAACATTTCAACTAAATACTGGAGGATTGACAGTCCATAGTAGTTTTAGTTAATTTAATTAGTTGAATTTTTTTTATTATTAATATTTTAATTTATTATAACAACGATATCATTATCTTAATTCTTATCTTATCTTAATTTTTTACGTTAACTGCTTCTTGCTTAATCCTTGTCTAAGCCTATCCAGAGCAGTTGTCGAAATATTATTTTTCCAAAACACCACCAAAACTTTAATTTGACCCCTATTTGAACTCATGGAAAATTTTGGTTGCAGTTCCCTCTGTATAAATTTATATCATATAAAAGATATATATGATGATATGTTTAAAAAATATAAATTCACATCAAATAAATTTATTTCATATTGTGTAAGGTCATTTAAAAAGGGTGGTTCTTGCTGACACACAAAAAGGGCCAAATTATTGTTGTTTTTTTCTTAATAGACCACTTTAAAATGATATATGTCGTAAAGTAATCACCATAATTCTAGAGGTCCCATTATCTTGATCTATAATTGCTCAATTATCATTTCAAGTGTTTGACAGAAATCAAATTTTATACTTAAATTATATGTTGTTGCATCATGGCGTGTTAAACTTGAAGTTGCATTAAATTTTGTATGAAATTCTTTTATATTATTTTATATTTCCACAAACATTCATTCCGTCATTTTTTTTGTTGAACTTCCTACAGGTTCTTCTTTCAATTTTGCCATGCCTATCAATAGACACTAAACTCTTTCGTTTCATTTAAGTAATTATTTTCTCAATTTTAATTATGTTTAATTATGTTAATAGATCAATTTTTGTGAGACAAGATGGCGTTCTAGGGCTAACTAACGAAACAAACTAACTAACGAAAACTTACCAAAACCTAAGTTCCCAAATTTTACTATCGACCACGCCTACTTCAAAATTACACACATATACACATTTCGTGTTTTAAATCAATCAATTTTAAAACCAAATCAAAAATCATCAATTTTGATTTTGTTGGAATCTGTCGAAATGCGGTCCGAGTTACTAACAGCAACCAACTCTTTTCAGGCTCGCCTTTGGAGGAAATCGCGTTTACCTGTCCAAGGTTCGACTTGCGTCGGAACCGATTTGAACAGAAATTTTGATTTCAACTGGATGGTAATAGGAGCAAGTGACAATCCGTGCGCCGAGACCTACGCTGGGCCCTACGCTTTTTCAGACGTTGAATCCAGATTGTTAAGAGATTACATTTTGGAACATAACGACACCATCAAATTATACTTGACCATTCATAGTTTTGGTAACATGTTATTGTACCCTTGGGGGTAAGTATAAAAAAAAGTCAACAACGTTGACAGATATTTTCTTTTTTCCATCTAGAAATTTGTTTTTTTCTTATTTACGAATATATGACCCATACTTATAAAATTTCAAAATATATCGCATTTTTATGAAGAGAAAGTGACATGCAAAAGCCCAGTTTAATAAGCAGAATATTATTAACATTAGTCTTTATAAACACTTACAAACGAAAATCGCACTTGTATTTATTGGCAAGAAAGAGAAGGTGATTCGAATCATTACTGTTACGATCTTTAAACGTTTTATAATAAAATTTAAATTTTGTTGTTACAGATTTTACGTTTCTTAAGATAAATAACACAATAATAATAAATTAAAAAAATGCGTATTGTGTTTAAATGATAATAATTTCTTTCACTCCAGTTTTTAAAAGAGTAGAACTGTCGTATTTACCATTAACAAATAACAATCAAAAAATCTAAAATAAAATAAGTTCAAGAGAAAGCACATTAAGTGTCAAGGGCAATCAGGTCCACAGTTGTATGCTTAAGTAGTTCCGAGTATTCTTTAGTATTACAAAAAGCATTCCTAACAAATAAGATTTTTTTAATTGTATCTATGTTTTTGAAGTTATTTTAGAAGAACAAAAAATGTAAACGAATTTATTTCGACTGGAATGTGGGAGACTTTTGGCATTTTCAATACTTAGCTTCGAAAGCAATTTAATACAATAAGTCATAGATACGTTACTTCCAATGAATTGTTGAGCTGATGGTCAACATGTATGGCGCTTGGCGGATAATACTTAAAATTTACAAAACATTTCCATTTTACTCTTATCTCATATCGAGGTACCTTTAAGTTTAAGTAGCTTGTATTTTAGTATTGTCGCATGGGTCAACAGAACCAATTAATGTAGGCTCAAACAAATGTACGAAATGCCAGCCTTTTTAGTGGCATTTTTAAAAATTATGAATACGACGTGATATGATATATGATATGAAATTATTTAAGTTTCCTTTGAATAATAAGATATTTAAAATAAATCAAATCTTGGCCAACGTTCTTGTAAGTGACTTTTTTTCCACCATTAATGTTTGCGACGTTTAGCAACAAATTTAAGAAGACATGATAACACAGAACTAATATTTTTAATTTATATGGATTCGTGGGGACAAAAAAAGGGAAATACCATTGAAAGCCCAAAAATGCCAATTTTGAAAACACATAACTCAAAAACTAGTCATAGGATTGAGTTGTACCCATGAAAACTTTTAATAAACACATATAAAACTACATCACATCAACTTTTTCAAAATCCAGTTCCCATTCAACAAACTGTTGTTTGACTGTCAACTGTCAATGTTGAATTGGTTAGCGCAACTCGCCTTCAGATTGCTGTCTTTGCGGTTGCAAACTCAATATTCTGCTCCCAATATTTTTGCAAATCAAATTTCAGACATACCACTGAACTGCCAGATGATGCCGAGGAACTTCAGTACTTGGGCGAAATAGTGAGTGACGCAATCGCAGAAGTGAGAGGTTCAAGTTACGTTGTGGGTAGTACTACGAATATATTATACTATGCCGCGGGTGTCACTCAAGATTGGGCTAAAGGCGTCGCCGGGGTTCAACTAGGTTATTGCATTGAATTGCCCAGAGGTACGATGCTGTTGGTTTTCCGGTCTTCATATTCAATTTTCTATATTTTAGGAGGCGCATATGGATTTAATCCACCCGCGGCTGAAATTAAAGGTATCGTCGAAGAAACATTCGAAGGAATAAGAGTTTTCCATAGATACATCCAGGCGAACAAAACAGTTACCTGCAACTGAGATACTTATATTGTTTTATAAAGATTCTATTAAAATAATGGTTTCGATTCGTTATCTGCTTTTTATTTGGCTCTTGACAATTTATAAATTAGAAATTCTGATGCTTTTAAACGTTGAAAGGACTAATTTTATTTAATAACACGTCATTCCAAAGCCTTCTGTACTTATATACTAGTCAAAAATAGTTATAGGAAAAATTGTCATGCCACGTTCTTAATAAATTGCTCATTCCTTTTGGACTAAATATTTAATCTGGACAAATTTTAAGAAAATGTTGTCGTAAAAATTCACGATCTTTCGGTGGCCATGCTGATTATTGAATGTCGCACGTCAATGGTTAAAAACGAGAATTTTAATCGCGTGTTGAATAGAAGTTGTCCAGCAAGGATGCCAACACTAGTACGTTTTTTGGCTTCCAAATTCGAACGAAGGTTGGTCGAAACGTTGTTAATATTTGCTATGAAGGGCCCTTTTTTAAATTTGACGTTCCCTATGAACAACGCACTAACTATTGTTTTTACTCCTGTCTGTTAAATACCTAATTACACACCGATCTAGCGTGCGAGAAGCGTCACTTTACCACGTCAGTTTTTTCTCCCATGGATCGGAGCTACTTCGGACATTTCCGGGATTTTACCGCACGGGTTTGGGAGCAATTGGTTGATTTCAGAGATATTTCCCACGCCTTGAATTTGACATTTGTCAATTTTGACGGCCATGTCAGTGAATGTAGCGGTCGTAGAAAAAGTATAGTATGCAACAGTAAGTCACTCGTTTATTAAACATTCGCTCCGCTCGTGTCAAATAAACTCGTGAGTCAAATGCCGTTTACCGCACTTGTTGCATAATATACTATTATATTTATCTTATTTTGCTTCGACTAAACATGCTTTGGTATCTTAGATCTCAATGTTTAGCCCTTCCGTGTTTCTGTATTTTTCGAGTCTTATGTTTTGAGGAGGTTTTGTCTCTCCAGATGTTTGGACTTGATCAAGGCGCTTCTTAATGTCAACCTGGCTTGAATTCATCTGATCTTTTCTTAGGAACGTTTACATTTCATTTCACATAAATCAAAAACTTATTTCATTGCTTTTTGTTAAATTTTCTAGGTAAATATTTTGTTTCTTTTTGATTATGTTGTAGTTTCTCATTTAATGCAGTGGGACTAAAAGGGAACCTTAAATCTTACGCGCAGGCAACTACTATCGCTGGTAGGAATGCAAAGAGGACACTGCCTTAAAAGAAGGCACCTATGAGAAGAGTCGTCGGCAATAACTAATACAATCTGTGTCTAGAAGAGGAGGACGAGAAGAAGAGGAAAATAATAGCTTAGGACGCAGTCTATTAAAAGCGCTAGGGGCAAAGAGGTACTGAGAGCAAAGGCCTTTTCTTTTGCAACTTAATTCTCTTCCCATAGGCGCGCCAACAAGTAAACTTTAAAGGATGAAGGGTGTATGCATACTTATTGTTTGCACTTACAGTAATAAGCCAAGAAAGGCAAGACAATTAATTAGGCACATTTAAAATGGTACCGACAAGCCCAAAAAGTAGGTCGTTTCATTTAACTGGAAAATTTTGCAAATTTAGATAAATTAAAATAGTAATTTAAAAAAGATACATGCATTCTGGAATAGCGTTTCTGTGTTCGTGAATAATGTAGTTAATTGCATTGATCAATAATTACATCAATCAATCAATACATAGATATTTAGCTACACAATACTACAGATCCAAAATCGTCTATGGGAAGTTACGATTTTTGTGTCGCTAAATTAATTTGTCTGGGATTTAGTTAATTCTCGACGACTTACAGTTAATAAAGGCAAAAGAGATACCGGTTACTCCGCCGAATCAATCAAAATTACTACTAGATTTTGAAATTAATACTAATGGAAAAAACAGTACAAACTAAATCCCCGTAATTCAAGCGATCAATTAGTGTCAGCAAATTCTATTGATAACTACGAGGAATTAAGATTCGTTAAGTCCGAAGTTTTATAAATGAACGGTTCACTACATTTCGTAGATTTCCATTTCAGCGAAAATGAAGTTCACATTGTGTGCGATAATTCTGTCCTGCCTTATTCTTAGTTCTCAAGGAAACGGTTACTACGAAGGGTGAGTCCAATGCAATAATTTATCTAAGGCTATTTTTAAAGACCTTTTTCTAATTAGCTACAAAACATATAATGTGGTCCCCAAGACATTCGATGACGTGGAATTCTTGCGAACTTTGGAACACGACACTCGTTTCGATTTCTGGTCACCTTTAAAGCGAAATCCAGGATTTCCGACGGTTATTATGGCGTCTCCAGAAGTCCAAGAAAATTTCGAGAGACAACTCACGGACTTAGCGCGTAATGGACTGGAGTATGACATTATGATTGAAAATGTTGAAGAGTAAGTACTATCCGCAACGCTCTTTTTAATAATATTCTAAAAGAGATCACATGTTGTATAACTTTCATTTTAGTTCCGTAAGAGTTGAAAATATGGAAAACATTGCACCAAGCAATTTCCATTTAGGAGAAGTGTCTTTTGATAGATACATGTTCCATTATGAGGTAGGTGTTAATAATTTCGAAGTACTTTTTAAAGAACAATGCAAATTTGCGAAATAATAGTAAGAATAATTTAACATTAAACAAATGCCTAGAAAAACAGGTATGTTTGACTGAGGAAATCACGACTTCATTTTACCTTAAATGTTAAACAGAAAGCAAAATTAAGTTATATTGCCTTTGCATCTTTTCGCCGTGTGTCTATTAAATCTGTCATTGTAATTTTATTTTGTTTATCGGTAGATTCGTTTATTGGATAATTGAAATATGGGAAACAGAAATCGTATCCAATGCAAAATCTTGCCAAACAAAACGAATAGATTCATAATTTTAATTTGAGGTTTTGTTCATTTCCATTTGGTCTTGGTCTGGTTTATATTTACATTGCATTCACTATTTGCATTTTTACAAAAGATTTGTACATTATTTGTTTCATGCTTAACTAGCTCAGTGGGTATGTTACCACATGTGAGGGTTAACGTTAATTCTGATCAGGATACGGCCTTTGCCGCACGTATTCTGGGAGACATTGTTCCCAGGTCTGAGCTAACAACCTTCTGAGTTTTTTGTTCATTCCAGATAGCAATTTAGTTTAGTAGATCGGATATTTTCCAAAACTTATTTTTTAGTACAGCCAAACATTGCTTGCGTTGTCTTGTAATCTATTTTATATTTGTCTCCGATATTAAAATAGTTACAATAGTCTAGTTTCCCAGAAGCTTATGCTTTTTGTATTTTTATATCGTAATTCCAAAAAAACGCCTTGATACGAATTCTAGTTTGTTTTTTATTTATTGTAGATAAACGATTACTTGGTTAAATTGGCTGAAGAATACCCTAGCATTGTACAACTGGAGCTTCTGGGCTATTCCTACGAAGGAAGGGAATTGTACCTGATCAAGTAAGTGGTTCTAAACTTTTAAGTTTGCATCCCAATGCAATTTTGCAGAATATCAAACGGCCCTGGGTGTAAACCGACCATTCTGGTCGACGCCGGAATACACGCCAGAGAATGGATCGCTCCGCCCACAGCTTTGTACATTATAAATCAATTGGTAGAAAACGCCACTAACGCCAGATTATACCAAAACGTTAATTGGGCAATAATACCCGTTTTGAATCCTGATGGATATTCCTTTACTCAGACCGATGTAAGTAGTCGCTGTGGTTTTGTGTTAGCTTCGAATAAACTCAAACTTGAAATCTTTAAGCGATGTTTTCAATATGTTTGTGTACTTTGAGTTATTTTTTATCAGTAGAATTTAAATCGATCACACCCGGGTGCCTGCTCGGTGAAGTAACTGGGTAGCTGTGGAAACCATAATAAAAAAACGCCAAGTTGGAATTTGATAGTTGTTTATCCGGTCAAAATAGAAGTAAAAATAGTAATCAAATAACAAAAACTCACAGCTGAATTTCGGTAGTTGGAGTTGAATTGTATGCGCCCGTGTCAACACCACCTGTGGCCTGACACCTGTGTACTTGACATATTATTTTAGCGCTTGGTTTCCCGGTATACGTAATTTGACTTTGCACTAGGCCTGAAATTTTGATTGGTGTAAAACTTTACAGTTTTTTCGTTGAAATATTGATTCAAGTGAATGAAAGTAAACTTGCATGCATCGAAATCGCCCCATTGTGAACTTTTGACTTCAATTTTTTTTTTTTTGGAAACTACTGATTAGATCAAAAAGAAATACGCTGTTTGGAAGTCAATTTAATACGAGTTTAAATTAATTAAAATTTAGGTTTAGCATAGTAAAATAACTGCACGAGTCAAATTAACTTTTTTCATTCATTCATTACTAAAAACAAATAGGGTTATTGACAATTAGCAACTCAACACTTATCTTTTAATAATGGGTGTGACCCCCTCTTGCCTTAGTAACATATCTTACTCATAGGCATAGATCTAATCAAGTTCGCTATTGTTTCTTGGGGAATGTTAAGCCACTCTTGCTCTACTGCAATCATAAGCTCTGGGATCGAGGTTGGGGTACGAAATCTAGCTCGAATTCTCCGTTTTAGCTCATCCTATAAATGTTCGATCGGATTGAGGTCGGGGCTACATGCTGGCCACTCCATAACTCGAAAACCGACTTCTGTAATTTAATCTTGCACGATCCTTACGTTGTGCGGCCTAGCGTTGTCTTACATGAAATTGAATTCTTCTCCAATATAGTCGACGTATGGTACCACGTGATCTGATAAAATATCCTCGATGTACCTAGCAGCTGTTAAATCTCCTGCCCCTTAACCACGGACACCCCTAATAAAATAAAAACAGGGTCGGTTCGTACATCCATAGAAATTGCACCCCATGTCATGCAGGAACCACCTCCATAAAGGCTCCCCTCTTCATTGCAGAATTCTGTAAATTGCTCTCCCGTTATTCGGTACACTTTTTTCCTCCGTCACTACAAAAAAGGCATATTTTGGTCTCATCTGAGAACAGAACTGACCCCCATTGACCAATTCAGTTGATCCCGTGCAAAGCATAGGCGTGCTTTCAATGAGTTGGAGTAATTTTGGACCAAATGCAGGTATTTTTGGGGTCAGGTTATTTTCCTTCAGTCTTCTTCTCACTGTCCACTGACTAAAAGTCACTCTTCGAACTCCATGGAGCTGGTGTTGCACTTGAACCGCATTCAGGTGACGATTTCTTATTATTGTTGACACAATGAAGCGGTCACCACGAGCCGATGTAATGTAAAATTTACATTGTACGCAAGTTTATTTGAAAAAATTTTTTCATTCTTTCATTTGCTACCTGCCTATTTGCTGAGACGCCGAGAAGAGTGAAGAGTTTGTTAATTACATTTTGTCACGTCCTGTTTACGATTTCAAAATTTAGAACTCTTAATACTTTCGTAGACTATGATGAGTAATTTCAGCAACGCCTTTGGAGAAAATCGCGCCTTCCAGTTGCTGGCTCCAGCTGCATCGGAACAGATCTGAATAGAAATTTCGATGTTCACTGGATGGAAGTTGGTGCAAGTAACAATCCATGCGCAGAAACCTACGCTGGACCGGCTCCATTTTCCGATGTAGAAACATCATTGTTAAGAAATTACCTTGCAAAAAATAACGACACCATAAAATTGTATCTGACGTTCCACAGCTACGGAAACTATATATTATACCCGTGGGGGTAAGGAGCGTAATATATTTCATCTTCCTATTCGCTCTAAGACGTATGGTTGGTTTTATTGCAGGCATACGTCCGCACTACCTCCTGATGCAGATGAGCTTCAAAGTTTAGGAGTAAAGGCGGGAAATGCCATTGCGGCAGTAAGAGGATCCAGATACACAGTGGGAAGTTCGACCAACGTGCTGTACGCAGCCGCAGGTGGCAGCGATGATTATGCCAAAGGCGTTGCAGGAGTAGCGTTGTCGTATTGCATTGAGCTACCCGCAGGTCAGTCGTTACACAAAGTATTTAATAAACCTCGTTCGTAAAATGAAAGGGGTGACTTCAATCTCCATTTTAACACGTAAACATAACGTCAGAATTTTTAAAAGCTTTTTAGAGGTGCCTGCCTAGACAAAGTGTATAAACAGGAACGTTCCAAAATCAAAAATAATTAGCTGTAAAGAACCGGCCATAATAATATACCATGCAACAAGTGCGGTAAATGGCATTTGACTCACGAGTTTATTTGAGTGTTTAATAAAAAGGGTACCGAACGTGTTGCATACTATACTTTTTCTACGACCATTAGTTTTTGGGTACATTTTCGCCAAAAAACACGAATACATTCACTGACATGGCCGTCAGAATTGACAAACGTCAAAATTCAAAGCGTGGAAAATATCTCCGAAATCATCCGATTGCTTCCAAACCCGTGCGGTAAAATCCCGAAAATATCCGAAGTGGCTCGGATCCGTGGGAAATAAAACTGACGTGATAAAGTGATCGGTGTGTAATTACGTATTTTTTCTACCTTTTCTAATTATGCACCGATCAAGCGTGCAGGAAGCGTCACTTTACCACGTCAGTTTCGTTTCGCTTGTGTCAAATAAACTCGTGAGTCAAATGCCGGGGGTAGCTTCCCACGGATCCGAACCACTTCGGACATTTCCGGGATTTTACCGCATATGTTTGGCTGCAATCGGATTTTTTCGGACATATTTACCACGCTCTGAATTTTGACGTTTGTCAATTCTGACAGTCATGTCAGTGAATGTATTCGTGTTGTTTTGCGAAAATGTACCCAAAAACTAACGGTCGTAAAAAAAGTATAGTATGCAACATGTTCGGTAAACTTTTTAAGTCACTCGTTTATTAAACACTCCCTTCGCTGCGCTCCGTTCGTGTCAAATAAACTCGTGAGTCAAATTGGTTTATTTTATATTCGTAACAGTAAAATACACATATTATTAAAGTATTATTTATTTATTATAGTGTCCAAAAACTAAAACATTCTCATTTCTAGCGTTCTCGGAAATCGTGTTCTTATTTTTTCTTGTCAGATGTGACGTCGTTGGGGGGCAACTATTACTTGGTCACTAAAGTAATACATATGGTCTGATGAACCCTGTATGACACACAAATGTCGTTTACCGCACTTGTTGCATAATATACTATTATTTTTACTTCAGATGCTGCTTGCTAGACTGAGTGAGAATCCATCCGTTTGTTTTTAGGAATGAGATTAGGAAACACCTTGTATTCATACAGATTGATTCGCGTTCGTTCTACCTTTATTTATTATTATTTAAATTTTAGGTGGCATATATGGATTTAATCCGCCTGCGAGCGCAATTAGAGGCATCGTAGAAGAAACGTTCGAAGGAGTTAGAGTCTATCACGATTATATTGAAGCTAATAAAACGCCCAAATGTGCATAAGGAATTAAGGAAATTTTGTTGTATACGAAGCAAATAAAAAACAATTTTGTTTTAACGATTTCTTTGCTTAACTTTTATCAACGTGAGATGTAGAGAATAATATGTCCGATCAGCATTTTCGGCAATTATGAAATGCATATTGCGATACTTAGTACGCAAAGTATGTGTATATCTACCATCATAGTATTCTTGTGTACAAATCCCTACACATTTTTATTTTTCAAGATAATGTTTGAATCTCTATTGAAAGTAATATACTGGGTTCTTCATGCTACAAGGTTTTCAAAAGATTTTACTTCTGGGATAGATATGTAAAGTTCTATCATGGTTAGCTTTTAAAATTACTTTCATACTAGTTTTATTGTATCTCGTTACTTATCGAATTTAAATATCTCAAATCATTTATTATTGCTGTAAGTTTTGCCGATTCCGATATAGGGCTAGTATTTTTTTAATATAAGCTTCCTCTAATGTTTTAAGAATTTTGAAAACAAGATTGAAAAACATGGGTCTCAAAACTGCCGCCCCAGATCCCCAAGCACACCAGATAATATAGATCACACAGTAATCCTGCAACATGTAGTCCAGAGTTAGCAATAGTTTTGATTAGAAGAAAAGTATATGCCAGTGTCTGGAAATAGTCGACAATCGACAATTCGAAAATTTATTGCAAATATATGTTTTTCTTTATTTTGTTTAATCTTCAGTTAGTTGCAGTAAGTTCGTCAAAATGTTTTTATATTTTATACATTATAATTGTTATTATCAATGTTATTGTTTACAGTATCTACCTAGTTGCACTCGTTTTTTTGTAACTCTTTGCAATAGAATTTGCACCAGTGCCATATCGTGAACAAAGTGTCAGAAAGCGAAGAATAAAATATACTTACAACATAATTCACTTACTATTCAATAAAAACACAAAACCAGACCAAGTTGACTACCTGAATAAATTATCTGTCACTTATAAATATCATAGGTATGACTAGATGCAATCAAAAATTATCTAGATAACACCACCAAGCATAATTTCGCATATGCTATGAAAATAAACCAACAAAAACCAAAATAACAACATCAAAACGCTAAAGAAACTATAGAAATAACGCATCAAACGTGATTGGAGTGGGCTCGATGACGACACCTACAGTAGACGCTCACTTTAAACTGGCTATTGATTTATTTATTTATTATTTGAAATTATTATAAAGTTTATAAATGATGAATTTTAATATCAAATCTTTTCCAGATATCCCTGAAAATGACAATGAATAAAAACAAATGCACCCTATATTCAGATCGTGCAGGAAAGTTTTTCCACAGATGTAAAGCCAAAGAATAAGAAGGAAGAAAGGGCGGCTAAGCCAAAGTATCAGTTTTATCTGTGTGGACGTTAACGTATTTTAAATATTTTTCAAAATTTAGTGGCCAGTTATTCTTTTAGAAATCGAATTGGTACTTTAGATGTGTTACTAACAAAAAAAGCAATGCAAACCGCAAAGCAAAGGGAGCTTGCTAAGGAATTACGTGTAAGACTGTGCGAGGTAAATACTTCCAAAACCTTTTCACAAAGGGACAACAATGACAAAAAGGTCCCAAGTGAACTAGTGATTAATGTAAATCCATTGACTCCGAAACAATTAAACCAACATGGAATAAAGGTTGACTCCAATAACATCCCACTCACACCAGTGGCTAACATTGAATTCAGCTTAGAGTTAAAAAAAGTGATAAACGAAAGGAATATACTAACGTCAAAAACGAGAAAGAGAGTTTTTGAAGCTTTGGATGAAATAAAAACCAAAACAGAAGAGGAAACAAGAAATTTGAAAAGGGAGCGTGCATTGCTGGAGATAGTGAATAGCGAAATTAAGTATATTCATCAGTTAGAGTTGATAATAAATTATTTTATGAAACCTGCATTGGAACGAAAACTTTTAAGATCTGATGATTTTGAAATATTATTTGGCAGCATAAAGACTATTTACAAAATAAACAAAGAATTGTTAGAGGAACTAGATAAAGGTTTTGATAATGTACCAACTGCCTTTTCGAGAATAGCTCCATTTCTGAAATTGTATTCAATGTACGCCCATGGGTTTAAGGATAAACTAAGAATTTTGCAGGTACCATTATATTCATTTGAATGTCATTTTGTTCAGTATTCAGTAATATCACCTTCTAATTTATTTTTAAAAACTGATACTGGAATTGTTTCATACTAAGTTTTTTGTATTTTAAGAATTCAAGATCTGTCAATCCCATGTTTGCAAAGTTTGTTGAAAACCAAGAATCTCGACCAGAAGTACAAAACAAGTTATCAGCATTACTTATTACACCGATCCAAAGGGTACCACGATATAAGTTATTGCTTACAAATCTATATGATCTCAGCACCCCGAACAATGCAAATTATGAAATTCTTGGGGGTATGTATTGCATTACTTTGAGCATTGTCACAATATTTCACCATAATTTTTTTGTAGAATGTTTATCGAAAGTGGAAGAATCCGCAGCCCATATTAATAAAATTGTGCAGGATCAGGAAAATAGTCAAAGACTACTTGAACTTCAGAGATGTCTTCGTAGTGGAGAGCCAAATATAATTACACCAGGCCGTCGATTAAAGAAAGAAGGGATACTAACAAAAATGTGCATGAAGGATGCTCATAATGAAAAACTGTATGTCGTTCTAATGAATGACATTATTTTGTTTAACAAAATGAGAAAAAATGAACTCAAAGTAAATTCTCTTAAATGTTCATGCATTTTTCCATTGAACAAATGCAAAGTGATTGAAGTAAGTATATAAATTAATGTGTATTATATGTACATATACAACCTTAGTTTTAAAGGTTTCATTTACTCATTTTGGACTATATAAATTCAATTCTGTTTTTGTCACAGATAGATGGAAATTAAAAAAAAAGTTAATTTCAATTCCAAAAAATATGTATAAAATCTATAAAATGATTTTAGGTACTTGACAAAGGTTGTCTAAAAGTGGTGTGTCAAAATGAAGAATTGATTCTTTATCATGATGAACTTCAGGAAATGATTGCCTGGATACAAGCTATCAATCAAGCTATACTAAGTTATCTTGAAGATAGAAAAAGTTTAAGGAAAGAAAGCTCATCCAGAAGGGCAGTAAAACGAAAGGATATTAATGAGTACCATGAAGTAGGTCTGAGTCCTGGGCGGCCCTTAAAGAAACGAAAAATGATTATGGTGAGTAATATACAATGGTCAAGTGAAATTAGGCTGTGAAAAATTGTTCCTTTTTGATTTTAGGAACAGGAAGTTTCTCCAATCGATAAGCCGCCCTCCCATATTAAAATCTCTGCGAGGAGGCCCATCCATATGGCCTGCAATTCAACACCCATCCGTTTAGAGAGTAATCCAGAAACTCGAAATATTCACAGATTTTCCCCTATGGAAACCTTTGGAGGTAGTAGCAAACTTGCATTTGAAAAGTGTGAAGAAGAATCTGAAGAATCTAAAGGCGTTTTCCAGTTTGGAAAGAAAAATGAAGAGGAAAACACTACTAGAGTGGGCAACTTCTTTAAAGGAGTTGGTTACACTATTAGGGGTCTATTTGGATTTAAAAATAATAAAAGTTAAGATTTTTAATACTTAGTGGTATTATTTTTTTAAATTGAAGACTGTTTTATTTGTTGATTAATTGCAAATATATTTTCTCGTCACCCATGTCTTTTGCTACCTTCCTAAAGCTATGGTTAACTGCTATAATGTATATTTCTGAAATATTTGCACATGTGGTGCAGCGTTGGAAATGGAATGCCCTATATTTTATTACAGATTCTGCAAAACTTTTTCTGTAATCTGTTTATAATATAAAATGATTTAAAAAATTCAGTAACAGGGGTCAAAAAATATGTAAATATTCGTTAAAACTCATTATTTTAAGCTGAATTTGGTAGCCCTAGTTGAAACACATAAATCAAATGAATAATAATAAAGACCTAACAAGCAATTTTAACAACTGGTTGACTACATCCTTTAAACAAATATCGTTGATACTACTCTACATTTTTACACGCTACCTGCAGGTTTACACATTAATAACAGAAAGAAGTAAATGTAAAAGTGTGTTTTTTATGGACTATGAAATGTTCTTCAATAACAATTCAACAATTGTTTCTCACCTAGTCAACTCAATAAAGGTAACATAAGTCTCTGAGTTGCATTTAGCAAGTGATTTGGTATGGACTTTAATTATGTTAACACGGCTACACTCGGCCATTACAAATGTAAGATAGAGAATTGGACCTGAATAAAACCAGTCGCTCTTTGAAAAACACAAATAGGAGATCATTGATTTGCAGAACGTTGACGTAGTTCATGTGATAATTTAAATATATTTGTCCGTATCCTTTAACATGGATATTATAGCACAAATGATTATTTATTCAATTGTACCAATTTCTGCATAAATTTCTCCACCCTCTGTTCGTCTATATCATTATTCCATTTGCCACCTTCTTTAAAATGAGAGCCAACAATCAGAGCGTGAGCGCTTAAATAGTGATCAACATTATCAATCGTCACTCCAGACCCGATTATAATTGGTAAATTCACACACTTCTTTAGAGATTGCATTTCGTGGGTACTTGCTGGAACACCGGTAGAAGTTCCTGTAATCGAGTTCAAATTTAATTTTGTTTAACGCCAGTGGTGTTATACCTGTAAGCACCAAGCCATCGGCCAAAAAATATTCTGCAGCCTTAGCAGTATCTTCTAAGGATACATCACTGGTTATAGCATGTGAGCTGGAAAATATGGTACGCAACATTTCTCATTAGGAGGGGTATAATTGGCGGACTACCTATGTTTTTTCTTTATGTCGGCAAAAACTAGCACATTTTGGGCTCCAATTTGCTTACGATAACGCAAGAGAGTTCCGGCATTCGCGTTTGCAAAACCCTCATCACCAATGTGACTGAAAACGTATCCTTCGGCTCGAATGAAATCAAACGAGCAAACTTTTGCAATAGCCATTGCTTCCTTATTGCCACACGACAAAACCTGTACGTAATTAACCTTCACCACTTCTGCACCCAATATTATTAGTTTATAGATACCTGCACCCCACAAGCAACATTGTCAGGCACTACCTTCCTGAGTTCGCTGCATACCCTAGACATAGTGACTCCCACCTCTGGACCAAAATGATGCGACTGAATGTACGGTATATCATGCATGTTTTCTACCAGGATACCGTCCTATCAACATATAGCATGGAGAAAATTGCGCGATTGCGATTGACTAACATCGTACCAGGTTGTAGCTTAAGTAAATTTGAGCTTCTTTGCAAGCTTTTGATACAAGTTTATTAATATCTCCAGCGTAAGAGGGTGTCCCTAGAAATCGCACTTCATTGAATTTATAGAAATGGAAATTAGCAACCAAGGTTTTGTAAAAATTAAGAACAAGGCAAACAAACAAGAAAAAAGCTACTAATTTTTTCTGTATTACCAATTTTAGATGTAAAGTTGGTTTGGTTTGAGCTTTCCGAAAAATGATTTTAACGGGAGCTTGTACAGTACTTTTTAAATGAGATTGGTTAGTTTTGACATATTTATGAAGTTTTTCATTGATATTTTAGTTTAGTGTCAATTCGACAAGTATCTATCCATAGAGACCTAATTTTAAAAATCTCGTGTGTAAATAATTACGAGTCTATTCTTTTGTCAAATTTGACATCCCATTTCAGCAGAAAGCAATGGAAACATATTTGTTCGGAGATAACCTCGAGTTCTGTACTCTTCATCTATGATTTCAGAAATTAGAATGCTGTAGAGTATGAGCTATTTTTCCAAAGAACTCAAACCAAACGTAACTGCTATAACCACTGTAAACTTTGCCAGAACGCAAAAACACATTAATATGCAAGTTTAAACCGACCTGGCAAGGCACCAACGTGGATCATTCCTATTACCGAACATTTTCTACTAAAAATGTCCTTGAATTTCAACATGACTTTGTTAACAGAATCTCGGAAAAACTATTATGTTGATATGCTAACTCTTGAAATAAACACATTGACCATTAGGTCGCCTATCTTTCATTTATCGCGGACCAAAATATTTCATTTCTTTATCTTTTATTATTAATTCCAAGTACCTATTGAATCAGTGCCGGGCAGTGTTTGCGATTTTATTCTAAATTAAATTAAATGAATGTCTTTTTCTTGTAAATTTATTAATTATTTGCACGACTTTTTTTTTGTTGACTCAAATTTATTAGGAAACGTAGGTAAAAAAGTATTTCATCCCAATAAATATGAAATTACGATACTAATTTTGCATTTTAGCAGTGGGAACCGATTCGCAATAACATGAAAACATGAAACATGAAAATAATACAATAAAATCATATCCCTCTATTGTTGTGTGCTGTGTTTTCAATTCTATTAGAATTTTAGAATTATTTTTATTTTTTTTTTCCTTCACGCAATTAAATACTTACAAATACAGTACAAAAATTAAAACTATAATCAAAACAGATATATTTTTTAAACAGCTCTTAACCTTTTCAAGGGTTTCAGAACTGTAAGAGGTAACACAGCTGTAAAGCTGTTTCGATATTTTTCTTAATAAAAATATAAATATAAATCAAATTACAGAATCCATTAAAAAGTTGCTGATCAATCGATTCTAAATAACACTAAATTGAAAAAGAGAATAAAGCATTTTTAATAAAACGATTCATATGCAACGAAATCAATTTTTATTTTTTTATTATTTTTATAACATTTTCACATATTCATTCTTATCATACCAATATTTCGTAAATACCACGTAATTACATATTCATTATATTCTATCAAATCGCGCACACTACTTATATTTTTAATTCTTTTTTCCAGTTTTCTCACTACAAAAATGCATACAATTGGTATTGTTTTTTTAACATAAAAGGTGCACACAACTTTGCCTTACACTTACTATGAACAAGCACACTAGTGATAGGTCAATGGCCAAAATACATTAACTCAATCACATATTCATTCAACAACAATAAATTTCACAACAATTCTCCCAAAAAATATTTGGTTTGTTAATACTCGAAAGTGTGCTTTTTTTTAAATATGTTGTAAAAAAGCAATTATGTGCATTAATATTTTTGGGAAAAGCCAATATTATTTAAACGTTTTTAGCCATTTATGAGATAAATTCTGTTACTTAAAAAAAACTAATAGCTACATTGTAGCTGCATTGAAAAGAAACCACATTTTGAATTTTTTTGTTTACTCTCGGTAAAATTACCAAGACACTTTTTATATTTATGATTTATTTTAATTTACCTAGTGTACTTTTAATATGAGTTAAATGACAAATGTGTTTCTTAATGATAGGTATTCTAACGCGTGAATATAAGTCGACCCCACAATTTAAATACCTAAAATGAAAAATGAACATAACCTTAGAAAATTGTCGATGATTTTATCTGAACGCCATGCAAAATCATCAACACTATATTTCTCAATTGACTTACTATTATACAATGATTATCTAAAAAATAAAATTATTTTGTACCTTTTTGGTTTTTACAATTTTTTATCATAAAAGGGCGATGTAATTACCCCAAATGAGAGAGAAATTAAATGATTTTATTGTCTGCGTAAATTTTCGAGGTTTATAAAAATAATCCCGTCAGTCCCGCGAATTTTACACCGACAATAAATTTCTATTCTAAACGGGTTCACATTTAGGAAAATTTTATGCATTTTGTCGATTGTTTTAAACTATTAAAAATTATTTTATCACAGTTTCATCAGATAATGGCCAAAGGACTTCTGTTCTTATTCAATTCAGCACGGAATCCAAATGCTAATACTTCACTTCGTTCAAAGTAACACATTTAAAATTCGTAAACCATATTTGATTTTTTTATTGTTTTTTGCACCAAAAAATTTATAAGCCGTATCGAAATTCAGGCAAAGAGAAACTAAACAGGGATGTTAGTTTTAAAGCGTAGTGGCGGTTGGGTAATAATCATATAAAGGAGAAAAATTTTGAATTACCTGAAACACACTAAATTAAATTTTCGTGAAGTAACGCAGCTACAATTTCCGATACCACATTCGCAGAAGATGTCTTTCCCAAACGTTATGCAAAAGATTTTCCTCGACAGATACTTTTACCGAATCCTATAAGAGTCTAATAAAAATAATTTAATTTTTTCGAATATAAAATAACACAATAAAAAATATATACTGTTTAATCTTCTGTATGTACAACAATCACATTACTTTACGAAATGTACAGAAAACATGTAAAAGAAAATGGAAATACACAAAATAAAACTGGCCACTCGAATCCAATGAAGTTTCCCTAATGCCCCGGGCAGTAATGTGATTATACCGAATTGCAGTAATTACAATAAATAGAATTACACCTACGCTGAGAAATTGGTTTCAAAATCTTTAAACGTGACGTAATCAATATCCACAAGGCTTACATGTACAAAAGAAAGAAATTTCATGAAGAATTGCAGGAAGTACTTATTAACCGCCAAAGTCCTAAGTGGTGGAACAAACAATAATCGGCAATCCGTTTATACCCAGATGATGCATAAATTAGAATTCTTAAACATGTAGTATAAATTTTAAACTAACTTTTGAATAGCGCCATCTAACCTGTTTATTAATTTTACGGTGGAACGCCAGAGGGCAGGCAACTAGGGATTTTCATGATTTTCATGATTGGTTGGTCTTTTGCTGATTTGTTGGTGTTTTTTTTGCAACTATGCATGCGGGATTTTTGAAGGGAATCCGCAATCAAAGGCTGAAATAAAGTTCCCCAGAAGTAATTTTTGTACGATTAGCAGTTTTCAATATACCTAAACCGGGAGCAATCCGCAATCAATATTTGATTATCACTGTAGCATTAGGAACCGGGAAAAAAATGAATGCATAAAGGAAAATTACTCTAAATAATCGTTGTGCTTCTCAGCACTGTTTCCTATTAACAAAAAAATTCAATGGGCGTCGTCCATCTGAGCTCCAAAAAGGGATATTTTAGAAAAATTATTATTTACGACCTTGGGAAACTGATTAAGAGGACCCCGATTGAAAAAGTAATCAAATGGGTTCTATGAGTCTGAGAATTTAGATATTATACCAGCACTGTGGAGTCCGGTAAAAGCGAACCCACTTTGGTTAGTTGTTGTTCTGCTATTTCCTTTTTTTTATTGAATTCACACGACCCGGCGGTTAATTATCTTCATCATTCTATGTTAAGGTTCTATTTCCATCAAACAATTACCTGATTTGTTAAAGGAACAAAAAACAATAACGAATATGGAGCAAAGATTTGGGCTACTTTCAAGCAGCTTACGACCAGGATAAGAGACACCTATTTAAATACAACTAGCCAAAGAAAAACATTTTGACATTTCATAGATGGCAAGAAGGGACAATGGCAATATTATGAATTAACGCTACTAAATAAAATAGACAAATACTTCGAATTTGGGTGAGAGGTTGGGCCTTAATAATTACAAGTCCAGGTCAATTGTTGTGGGTATCTTATCTTTTGATAAAGATTTATTGCTAAATGCTGGTGCTGTGCTTTCATCTTCTTTAATTTTTTAAAAATTGAACTGAGGTAGCTTTTACTTGACGAAAATCCACAGCGTTGTAGTTCTTATTTATCTTGTTTAATTTTTTTGGCGCGACTGAATATGGGCACTTACGGACTTATTAGACGTCACGTCACTGTCGTGTAGCTAGCTGGTGGCCAGTTTGATGGCCGAAAAAAAAAATTGAAATTTTGATAGAATTCCACCTCAACTCTACATGGATATTGGCGCTGCCACCTACCAAATACATTCCCTGCATCATTCTTCAGAAAGTACATCATATATTGCAAATGTTTGATCGGACAAAGATTTTTTTATCAAATATTCTCCTCGTCTTACGAATAAAAATACCGAATAACGATAAAGTTTCGAGTGAACTAATAACCTACTGTTAATGTTGTGGATAAGGTTTACATTTCTAATCGTACTTCTTCATCGTCCGCGTCCGTTTTTGAGATCGGTGTATGCGTTTAGCACTTGCGATTGTTGTTGGCATTGGAGCGAGCAGACCCTTGGGAACGTTCCTTGCGTCTAGGTTTCCAGCTACGCCCGTTTGCCTCACGAGCCTTGTTTGTACGATTCAGGTAGCCGCGAGAAGTCGATTGGGACGACTTTTTTATTTGCATCTGAAACGTCGAGAAGCTGTCAGAGTTTTGCAACAAAGTGAAAGCGAATCAAGTCTAGACGTTGAGACGTTACCTTTTGAGCTCTTCGACTTTTCGCGAATTGCGCTTCGTGCAAATGCAGCGCTTGCAATCGGTTGCAACGAGGAGGTGGTATTCTGCGGATCATCACGATAGCGTCGCCGTGCTCTTCGCCGACTATCTCCTCCTCGAGGTTATCCTCCATGTCGGTCGCCGCCATCTCGGAAGGGGTGGAGGGACGGTTGTGACGAAATGGTGGTCGTCTGCCGCCCGTGTGCTGATAGACGCTCATGCTCGGGTGCTCGATCAGAAGGTTCTCGAGAGGCGACGTTTCCATATGGATCGGGCCTAAACCGAGCAAAATATTAAGGAGACTGACATTTAACAAACGGTAATTTCTAATAACTTGTCAGATGAATGTAACGAATGAAGGCGGGAATTTGGTGACAAGCAGGGAGGAGCAATTTAGAGCATTTATCCTTCTCGCAATATCGTTTATTAGTTGTAGTTCAAAGAAAACAACGTAACTCCACAATTGGGAAATTTAGGTAAATAACAGTCCCTGCTGTTATAGTTTTCAACGATGAAGTTGACGTCGGCTAATTCTAATAAATGTTTTAGGACACATGCAAATTATCGTAACAACAGATCGATTCGACATTTTTGGTATGACTTTTATTTTAACTAAAATCTGGAGAGTTTGTTATTGAAAAAACCAAAATTAGAGCAAAATATTAATATGATATTCAGTGACGCCAGTAGCCAGACACAGCAGACGTCACGCTGTGCAGAATGTACGGAGAGTAATACGAATTCTCCTAAAACGTTTACTTTACTTTATTTATTTGAGCCAACACAATACTCAAAGGGCTGATTTGAGAAATTTACCCCATGTCATTGTGGAAATGGTGAACGAGTTTTTGGCAAATAACGCAAATTGAAACGAAACTCAGTGCAGTGACGTTAAAGTAGTTCGATAAGTAGATAATATGCCCATATAAAGGTATTCCCACATCTACATTTATTTTTTGTTTAGCACTAATGGGTAAAATTAAATTCTGCTTTATTTTAGTTCATTCATCATCAGGAGTTTATGACATTAGAACATAGTACATATGGCGGATAGTCGTACCAATTATCAAAGCTATTATCCGTTTTCTTCAGCATTGAATATTCTGTTTTGCATGCAGTAACGGCAAAGAAAAAAAAACGGTCTGGCATACTCAAAAGTCTCTCTTATTCTCTTCTACAATCTACAAAATATAATATATTTTTTTGTCAGATCAAGGGTCGTAAGTAATATTATTTACCTATACTTCATATTAGGAATCAAGTTTATTTTCATCAAAATTTGTTTTGTATTTTGCTTAAACGCCTAAAAGTCAAAATTACTTTGTAACGAAAATTGGATTGATAGGTGATGTGAACTATATGTTTTCAATGAGAGAAGTTGTAGGAGAACGACTAGTCACGTAGATATAGTCTCATATTCTATTTTTTTGAAGTCCACTTGTAAAACCAGCACTGGCTGCAAATATTTCGCAGTATCTTTCTGCCTTGCCCTTTTCACGCTGAGCGCTCGCTGTTTCGTAGAAATTAAATGTCTGTCCGGCTGACATACAAATTTATGTGGTACAACCTCAGATTTCATCCGGACTCCAACAGTACCTAACTTATATTCTAGGTAGTTTTCCATATTATTTTCCAGGTTGAAATGATCTTCGCAGCAGTACAAAGTTCACACTGATTTCACATCTCACCGAGCTTCGTCGTCAAACCACTTTTTATGTTTTAGAGGAGCTTTTGGTACACTCTTTTTTTGTGATATACTGGACGTATTTGTACAATTTGGAACAAAACACGACTTTCTGTTAATCATTTTTAATTCCGATAAAGTTCGCCGAAAGTCCGTACCCGCTTAAACTAGAAACTTTAACATTATTATGTGTATCGTAAAGCCAGCCGGCCAGCCGTCTGCTGTGTCTGGCTACTGACGTCACGCGGCCTAGCCATGCGCAAACGCTTCGTTTTTTAGCGTCGCGCCGACCTTGATTTTTAAATCTTTATCGCTTTCAGTTCAAATAAAAAAATGTCGAACCTACTTATTCTGCTGTCCCAATGCATTTTGTGCAGCGAGCTTTGGATTATTTTAAAATTCCTAATGGGAGCCAATTTACAGTTAAATGTTAGGCGTAAGGAAACTTAAACGAAACTTAATTTAGATAGCTGAACAGCGTAAAATAAAGTTTGCTTCGACCGACAAGATTATTTGCATCATCCAATCCAAAGCTTCACGTTCTTAACGAAGCCCTAACATAGTCTTTATATGTCGCACGTCGTAGGTATAATTAACAAAGAGTTGCTAGTTTTAAATAATAAACAAAATTAGATTTCGTCAACAAAATAAAAAACAAACGTGTCTGGCAACAACAAAAACGAATTCGGATGTTTGTATTTTGTTGTTCGAAGGTTATGCGATGCTGTAATTAATAAAAACAAAAGCGAGCAAACCAACCTGCAGAAGTGAAAGAAGGCGGAGGCGTAACAAACCACGATTCTTCCATACCTCCCGTTCCTCTCAGGGATTCGACAGAGCTCGCCCGCGTCACTCCCGTTTTCTTCCGTGGTTCGTTGGTCGCTTCGTCTTCCTCCTCAGATGACGAAACGTCCGAATTACCTTCGGAATCCCTGTCGACCAGCGTCCACCCGTCGTCATGTTCGGTCGTTCTCAGTGCTACTCGACTGCTGCTGCTGTTGCCGCCTTCGCTACTATTGTTGTCGACCCCTTCGCTAGTCGATGTTGAACTGTTACGTAAGAGGTAGTTTGCTAGGATTTGAATCATATCCTGTAAAAAAAAACTAGTTCAGGGATCGATAAAGGTTACATTATCGTAGGTGTTTGTAGCTTTCTTCGATCACGCCTATATATGAATAGAATCCTAGATGACCTACCGAAGGAGAACGGGGTGAAATCTGATATTATCCTATTGGATACTACCAACGACATTGAAATTAAAATACGAATTTCCGGACGGCAAAATGCAGGTTTTTGCAAACGACAAAAGCAGGAGGAATACCTAAATTCACCATACCCCGTCTCTTGCCAAGATTTTGAGATTATCAAAATTAGATTCGCGAAATTAGGGTCGACTTTAGCCACCAATCGACACGTGCCGTTTGCAAACAAATTCCCAACCTCAACTTTAGTTTCGCCGCTCATCGGCAGATGGCAGCATAAACGAAATTACCAATTTGTAACTAACCAAACGGCTAAGTTTCGCTGAGTGTGTAAGACAGCAAAACTCTTTAAATCACACGAAATTGCACAACATCCACTTTTTGAAAGATTGGAATAAATTGAGTGTTGTGAAAATAAGGGTTACAAACCCTGTTTGAAAAGACTTGAAGAAATTTGCCCGTCGGAGTAATTGGAAGTGAGTCTTTACTTAGTTCATAGACCTGAGTAATACTGCCCTTGTAGTGGGAAAAACTACGGCCAAGGGTCGGTTTTTGGCCAAGATGTTGCACACATGTTGTTCTATGAAATGCGAAGCTAATTTCAAAATTAACTTGAGAGACAGACAACAGTGTTTAAATTTATTTTTATGTTAAATTATTGACTGGTGGAATGGTTTCCTTACTCTTAAATACCCAATTATGAATTAATCAAGTGTGAGAAAAGTGTCACTTAAACACATCAGTTTCGTTAAACATTGTTGTCAATCACCACGGTTAGTTCCGATACTTTAGTCACAGGTTTGAGAGCGATCGGATAGGGAATGAAATGATACGTCCGCCGCTGGATAAAATTAAACAATCCCCGATCAATTAGATTTATTCACGGACTATTCAGATATTTCAAGAATTAAGTGTTTTTTATAGGTGCCAATTAAAAACAATTACAAAAATGTGAAAATAATTAGTAACAGTGTCAGCGGTTTTTTTTTATGCACTTCAATAACAGGAATTCAACATCCATTGTTAGCGGCAAATATAACAAAGAAAATTGTTTCTAATAATTTTGCGGTCGTAGAATTAGTTTTATTTATACGACACAGAACCCTGGAAAACACCTAACACAAAGTGCAAGGGCGAGTAAAAATACTAGGTATGAGTGTTAAACACCTGAGCATAAAGTAAAAAAAACTAAATAAAATAACTTTTGCTTATCAGGAACAAAACAAAAAATTGTGACTATTACGTAGACTAGTATGTAACAAAAAAAGCTACAAGCGCTGCTTATCCTTCTCTTTCGTAACATTTCAATACAATTCGGAGGATTTAAAGGGAGACCGATGAAAACTATACACTATACATTTTTATCACCAATAAACAAATGTGCTTACGAAAATAACTCAAATACAACAGGTTAATCTTAATTTACAAAAATTACTTAACCAACTTTTTTCTTTATCATTTGTTAGCTGATCCTACGATAATATCAACCCACATTCAGCAAAAAAACTGTTCGTCTGTCCTTTCTGTGAACATTTCCGGTTTTACATAAATATTTTCGCTCAGCATTTCAAAAGTAATATGGTGAATCACATAAGCGCCCGAAGAGAGGGCTTGAGAATAACAAATTAAAATCTCATCTAATTATAATTATTTATAAAAACGTCAAATCACTTCTAAACGACATTGGGATTACCTAATCAGATATTATTCGTCAAAAAATATTTTTCAAATGTCTTTTTAAAAAATGAACTTCATGCTTACTCGCTACAAAGTGTGGTAGAAAATTTTCTAGAAAATTTAAATTGGAAATCAAGGGGCTTGCTAGCTTTTTTATAATTCCGCAGCACCAATCGCGAAATAAATAGAATAAAAAATTTAATTACCCAGGGAAAACTATATTATTTCACCTTATAATGAATACTACCATAAACTGGTGAAAAACTGAGAATAAATTAATTCTGAAACCTTTTAATCCTGGGGCATGGACTCGAACTCGGGACGCCACTGGGGTCTCGTTATTTATGCGTTGTACTAGACGATTACTGTTTAATAACATACAAAAAAGGAAACAGTTGGGTCATTTCACGGCTAGTGCGCACTTTTGAATGCGAAATTACATTGAGTGCAACAATCATTGTAACAAGCGGGAACATTAAATTTGTGCCATAAAATTATGTCACCTCTATTTTTATTACCGTACAGATGGACGACAATAGAGAATATTATCAAAGGTTAGATATTAAGTATTAATTTGAAATCGCCGATACTTGGCTAATTCGGCGGTTTGCATATCATTGACACAAAACCATACAGGGACGTAATAAATTATTAACATTTAAATAAAAAATCGATAACATAAATTTGTATATTTTTAAAAAGAATAAATAAATCGTTGGGCAATCACTCTGTTCGAGCGTGCGAAATTATCACGCAGACAAAACATCGATATTCCAATTGGTCCGATAAAAAGCAATACAATTAATGAACTTTTGTACTGAATTTGATAGCACCGTGTTTGATAATATCTTTTAATGACGTGCCTAGGGTCAAAAACCTTACCACAAATCCCACACAAAATGCAACTACTTGTATACAAAAAAAGTCATTTAAATAAAAAGCCAACAACACGTAACATCTAAATAAGAAATGCATTTATCAATTGAGATGTTTTAAAACATTGACATATTTTTTTCAAAAAATATTTAAAATGAGATAACATTCAATGGTTTCGAACAAACGGGGACAAGAAAAATAAACGTCAAATTGTGTTTTACGTCGCAGACAATTAAAACATAGGGAGGGACTTTTGCGATCCTGAGGAACGCCTACTTTTTAGTATCAATATCATGTCCACTATCTCCAATGATTTTGATTTTTTTTTTATTACAGTACCTGATACTTTTGTAAATGACATTGAAAAAAAAGCCTTCCCGTATTAAAATAAACAAGACTTAAAACGTTATTTATAACAATCATGTCGATCTGACTTGTCAGAGGATTTTTTGGTCTTATTTCTAATAAAATCACGATATTGCGCAAACCTAATGTTAAGGATGAAAATACAAAATTTCAAATATTGAAAAATACTACACCAAAATGAATTAAAACATTTAAATTTAAATAGGTATGTATGTAAAAAATAATCATATAAGTAAGCCGTGTGGTGCTAAACGTATAGAAGGAAAATCTGTTTGATGGTATATTACGCAACAAGTTTTATAGTTACATATAAAAATACTAAAAACACTTCAAAGACAAGTTGTTTCAATGGACTACTCTTTAAATATATTTTTATACAGTGTGTTTCAAAACAAATTCTAAAAACTTAAAGGGGCGATTCCTTGTTTAAAATAAAAGTTAGTTTTGGTTAGTTTCCATAAAACTTGTTTTGAAACACCATATACAGGGTGCTGGTACATTATTTTTCGGTATTTACTCATAACAGATTGGAATTTTTCTGGGCGTTTCCACAGCATTCTAAAATTACACAATACGTTTGCGTTTTGTTTCACTTGCCGCGAAACTAGTTTCGAGTGGTTACAAGCTTGGATTTCAGCAACTTTTAGTTATTCGACCAACCAAAATCGGTTCACGGTTACCAGGTTCAATGTCGAGCAGCAAACAAATCCGTACGTTTATTTATATATCTTGTCTAACTTTTGGCAAACCTTCTTCATTTTTCAAGTTCGCAAAAATGAAATATATACTACGGATTTCGTTTTCCGTAATTCCACGTTTAGGAAGAAGTATAAAGACAATTGAAAGGATACAAAAAGAAACTTCTAAAAAAAAAATAGTATCTAGTGTATAACATGCACAAATTCGCCAGTATTGTGAGGTTCGTAGATTGAAGAGCTTTATATTAAATTTGTAATTTTCTCTTTATAAAAAAAATGTAATTTTGATCATTTTTACATAATTACATTTACCACAAAATAATAAGAATAATAATAATAAGAGCAAATAAGGAGTAGACAGTGAAGAAAATCACCAAAGCATGAAATTTGTGTGTGTTTAGCTGCTTTTAGAAGTTCCTGAATTTTATTTTCTATTTTAAAATAAATCGAATATAACTTTTAACGCGGCGTTATCCGTAAGATCAACCGACCAAAAGCTATCAAATCAAATGTAGAAAATTTCCTTTAACGGAAACACACTTCACAGGATCGTCAAACTGTTGGAAGCAATTTGCATGATCGTTAAACTACTTTCGCTGCACTAAAACTAAGAACCGTTTAATTTTTTCGTTTTTGCAATTTCAGTTAGTCAGTTAAATATACCCAATTAAAATTAACAACGTTTTCGTCATAGGTGATAGACGTGTTCCTAGAAATAACACGTACGCTCAAAATTATGAAACCTTTTGGACTATATACAATATACAACGTGTCACAGAAGAAGGGTTGGGGGGAATGAGGAAGTAATATAAATGCTCAAACTAACAGATTTGTTCTTTCTTGGGGAAAAATTTTTTTGGCCCAATTTATCCCAATTGCGAAAAACACTAACTATGTTATCAACTACATCAAAAATGTAACCTAAATGTACCTAAAGGTATTGAAAATATTTGAATATTTTAATATTAATTATTAATATTAATAAAAAAATAGTTTTAGTAAATAAAGCGTTATAAAAGGAAACACAATCGTTCCTCGTATCCCTAATTCATGTTTAGAATCTGCATCAAGTTTTTTGAGAGTGGGTTAGTTAGTTTTTACATTACGTCTATCCAATAGAAACATTCGCTATGATAACTTTTTAAAAATACTAAATGGTTTTTAAAGTCACTTTTTCCTTCCCTATAATGGAAAACTTTTTATTAATTCAAGTCACAACTTGCATGTACTTGTTAGTAAACGTAATACTCGATTTGACCAAAAACCCCAAA